CTATCATCCCTGTGTTTGTTGCAAAAGATTGTATGCTGAATAGGCCGTTTTAATTATCTGAAAAATAAATCTAAATTAAGTAACAAATTTAGTATAATCATGATTATATTATATCATTTTTAATGATGTTAAAATACTAACACTGATAAACGAATCGAGATTTAATGAGAAAATTTTGATAACCACCATTGAAATTGGTTTGATAGTACGATTCATCATAATTAATAAAGACGTCTTCATGCTATTGTTTAATATCGTCCAATCAATGCCGAAAATCTTATCGATTATTTCTTTACTCTAATATATGATTTATATATATATATATATTATTATTATTATTATTATTTTTATAATGAAATATTACATTTTTGTGTTAATAATAATGTTGTTCACACCGCTTACCTTTAAAGTAATTAAATTTCCGTACCAACAGTAAAGATATATTTGTATTAACATACAATACATGTAAAGTGACATTTTAGCATATTCCACAGAAGCCGGTGATATTTTAGTTAATTGATACAACGTAAAACATACTGTCAATGTGCTGCCAAAGAATTGAAAGAAAATAATCAAACCAAAGATTTGATTTACGTTATCAGCGAATCTGTAGATTTCGATAAAAATAATTCTAACTTATTGTGAATATTTTTTTATTTTGTGAAAATTAATATGAATAATTCGTTAATTTCACAACGTGAATATTAATTATATTATAATAAATAAATTCAATTTTTTATTATAGAAATATAAAAAAAAAATGTTTGTAATAATGTGTACTAACTTGTATATGCATTCGTGATGACGAATGCATAATATTAAAAGTGTCTTCCGTTTGTCGGCAATTTTCGTCAAACGATTTTCCAAAATCTTGATTTGACAACAAATGTGTATAAAAATTCCGCATATCAATGAATCCAATGCGACGTTTAAAAATCCGGCTAATGTCATACCTAAGATTTGTTGAGTGTATATTAAATAATACATAACGGGTGTCGTACTATCGAATGGTAACCAAACTTCTTGAAATGTTAATTGTCCGTTTCTGAGATCATTGATTAATGACATAAATACAAAACTGCTAACTGAAAATCCTATCAAGGATGTATAACCATTTGTATTATATCTATAACAAAAAATATACAAAATTATATAATATAATTTATATAAATATATACACGCGTTATATACGTCACAAAAGTTGGTTTTTTCTAATTCAATAAAAACAATTAATCATTAATCATTTTTTGTCGTTGGATATTTCTAACATATTATAATGATTATATTGTTTTAATAAAATAATTGATGAATATTTGATAAAAAGAAAAACAAACTTTTACGATACAATTTTCTATTTATATATATATTATATTATCAAATTATTGTATATTGTTAATTTCCCCTACTCCCTAAAAAAAAAAAAATAAAAGAAACAGAAATTCGTATGTAATAATATTAATTACAAACCGTGCTAATTTGTCGAATTTCAATTGGATCAGAATTTCTTCCTCGTCCGATGGCACGTACGGTTCTTTTTCGTTTAATGCGTTTATTAATTCAACGACATCATTGTAATTGATTTTAAACGTTAACATTTTCAAACAAGATATTGCAATGGTCAAAGATACATAAATGTCTTCGGAAAGATCGCTTGAAATGTTTAATGCGATACCAATGATTTGTGATAACGATAATGTGGATACTAAAAAAATTACGCAAATATCATAGAAATTGTATAAACAATTTTTGTAATACAATAATGACCAGGACGGTGGTTTCCAACATCCGCAAATACTTAGAATCATCAGAGTTGATTCTAAGATCATTTTTTAATTATAATATTACACGTAACTTTGTCAAATTTTTTTTTTCTTTTTAATTACAAATTATAATTTCTTTAACATCGTATTAAACGATACTTATGAATCAAATGTTAAACTTATATACAAACACGAATATTATTTGTTCGTTAATCAGATTTTGTTTCTTTTTTTTAACGTTAGATACGTACGTTAAGAAATTTCTTCACGAACTGAAATGATTTTACTTTATTTTATTCATACTTTTCTTTACCAACCCCCCGCGTATGAATTGTACGATCGATGTATGATTCTACTTTTCCCGAAACGAAATCTATCATTATTCTAATGTCAACTTCCAAAATTATATAGATGAAATAATCCATCTGGACAAAAAATTACGATGTCTTTACACAATCACACATCTGTGATTTATTGTTATTTATTATTCTTATGCGTTGTTGAAGTAGCAAAACTATGAAAGAGGAAATTGTTTTTACTGAAATGAATTTGTATGGTCGTAAAAGTGATTCGAAATATTAATAAAATCGTATTGAAAAACGAGATAAAATTGAAGTATTTTTTTAAATATATAAATAAAACACAAAATGAGATACAGAATGATTGAAAATGATTGGGAATGATTATTCGAAAAAGTAATACTCGAAGTAAGTTGATTATTATTATTTTGAAAATTAAAAACATTTAATACCTTGTTTCCTATATATTATATATGTTACCGTCATAGCCGGAAATCTGCCGTTGCTAGTAATTCCTCGGCATTTTCATCAATGCAAAGAGTATTCCGATGAAGTCGGATACAGAAGAATTCTTACAGAATTCTAATTTTTTGAAAAGTTTTGATAAATATTTTTTATACTAAAAGTDAATAGATTTTAATAAAACTTACATTAAATTAAAGTACACTCTTTTGTCTACGCGTAGAATACCATATCGAGTTATAAATTTAGCATGTAAAGTTCAGAAACTCTCAGAGAATGTAATGCTGTAAAATGTGGATCTTTGCAATTTTTGTGAAAAGTTTCGGTAAATATTTTTTATACTAAAAGTGAATAGATTTTAATAAAACTTACATTAAATTAAAGTACATTCTTTTGTCTACGCGCTGAATATAATATCGAGTAATAAATCAATCTGAAAAGGTTCATAAAATGGCAAAGAATGCGATGCTGCAAATATTTTCTACTTTGCCATTTATTTGAAAAGTTTTGGCAAATATATTTTATACTTTTGGCAAATGGATTTTAATGATTTTTATATTAAATTAAAGTACACTCTTTTGTCTACGCGTAGAGTCTTTTTTCGCGTTATAAAACAATCTGCAAAGGTTCAGAAAATGTCAGAGAATGCAATGCTGTACATTGTGCATCTTTGCTATTTTTTTGAAAAGTTTCGGTAAATAATTTTTATACTTTTTGCAAATGGATTTTAATGATTTTTATATTAAATTAAAGTGCACTCTTTTGGCTACGCGTAGAGTATCTTTTCTAGTAATAAATCAATCGGGAAAGGTTCATAAAATGCCCAAGAATGCGATGCTGCAAATATTTCCTACTTTGCCATTTCTTTAAAAAGTTTTGGCAAATATTTTTTATACTTAGAGCAAGCGAATCTTAATGACTTGTATATTAAATTAAAGTGCATTCTTTTAGCTACACGTAGAGTACAAATTTAACTTATAAATAAATCTGCAAAGGTTCATAAAATGGCAAAGAAAAGTTTGCGTATCAGGCAATGTGAACAATGCCTGATGGCCAGGCATTGTTAACATTACCGGCCTAGGTTCCAAACCACCCCCGGCAATGTTAACAATGCCTAGCCTTAGGCAATGTGAACAATGCCTAGTCCGCCAACTTTTCTTTGCCATTTTATGAACCTTTGCAGATTTATTTATAAGTCAAATTTGTACTCTACGTGTAGCTAAAAGTCTGCACTTTTATTTAATATAAGTTTCATTAAAATCTATTTGCAAAAAAGATAAAAAATATTCGCCGAAACTTTTCAAAGAGATGGCAAAGTAGGAAATATTTGCAGCATCGCATTCTTGGGCATTTTATGAACCTTTCCAGATTGATTTATTACTAGAAAAGATACTTTACGCGTAGCCAAAAGAGTGCACTTTAATTTAATATAAAAATCATTAAAATCCGTTTGCAAAAAGTATAAAAAATATATACCGAAACTTTTCAAAGAAATTGCAAAGATGCACACTTTACAGCATTGCATTCTCTGATATTTTCTGAACTTCACATGCTAAATTTATAACTCGATATGGTGTTCTACGCGTAGGCAAAAGAGTGCACTTTAATTTAATATAAAAATCATTAAAATCCGTTTGCAAAAAGTATAAAAAATATATACCGAAACTTTTCAAAGAAATTGCAAAGATGCACACTTTACAGCATTGCATTCTCTGATATTTTCTGAACTTCACATGCTAAATTTATAACTCGATATGGTGTTCTACGCGTAGGCAAAAGAGTGCACTTTAATTTAATATAAAAATCATTAAAATCCGTTTGCAAAAAGTATAAAAAATATATACCGAAACTTTTCAAAGAAATTGCAAAGATGCACAATTTACACCATTGCATTCTCTGACATTTTCTGAACTTTACATGCTAAATTTATAACTCGATATGGTATTCTACGCGTAGACAAAAGAATGTACTTTAATTTAATATAAGTTTTATTAAAATCTATTCACTTTTAGTATAAGAAATATTTACCAAAACTTTTCAAAGAAATTACAAAGATGTACAATTTACATCATAGTATTCTCTGATAGTTTCTGAACTTTACATGCTAATTTTATAACTCGATATGGTATTATATGCGTAGACAAAAGAGTGTACTTTAATTTAATATAAGTTTCATTAAAATCTATTCACTTTTAGTATAAAAAATATAATTATTAAGTATATATATATATATATTATTAAGTATAAAAAGTCTTATTTACGAATTCGTCGGAAGGCGCTTTGCATTAATGAGAAGCCGAGGAATTACTAATAATGACTGATATCCGGCTTTGACGGTAACATATATATATTTATATTTATATACTATCGAATACATCAAAATATCTACACTTCTATTTTGACTATAATTGTTTGCACGAATTCAATAAATACGATCATTATGAAGAATTTTGCAAAACGTTAAATGCCGAGTACGATGTATTCAGTATCTGTAATTAGTTTAAAAACATATACAAAAATAAAAATAATATTAATTATTAAAGAATATATATATATATATTTAACACAAACAATTAACTTACGCTTGTAAATGATTGAGCAGACAATACTATAATATAACCACTTCTCATTTCAATGGGTTTTGTAGATCGTAACATTATTATAGGAATAATTTTAACTATGTCATTTTCCAATGACGTCCAATCCATTTCATAAAACATATCTCCGATTTGCATACTCTATTAAATAGAATTAAATGGTAATGTAATATTACATTAATCATTAAAGTAATTGATGAATAAGAAATACACATTAATCAATCAATGTAATTGAATCTATTAATTAACCTTTAATATAACTTCGTTGCCGAACCAACAATAGAGAAATATTTGCATGAACATAGAACCAAGGTAAGAAACTCCCCAAATAAATTCAATGCTTGCGATTTCTGCCTTGGACATCCTGTAAACGGTCAAACATAGTACAATCGAGCTTATAGAAAATTGCAACATGATCATCGTCGTAAATACGCTGTTAACTTTAGTAGCAAAGCTAAAAAAAAATAATTAACATAAATTTTTATTTCAAATATATAATATATCATCCAATCGTAATATGTGTTTCGTCATTTTGTTGTTTTATATTATATTTTATATGATATAAAGAATATGATTAACCTGTAAATGTATAAATGATAATCGATTAATTCACGAATTATCTTATTCTTCTCTGTTTTCCACTGAACGATATAATCGCAATTTTTTTTTGCTATCTCCAATAACATTGGCAATGTTTTTATTCGATGACTAAATATCTCAAATTGTGCACAAATTTGTATCATCAATCCAGAGATTATTGTTTCATGTCCAACACTCGAATTTGCTACTACCAAAAGTGCAATTGATTGATATATCAATGATAACCAAAACATTATTTCCGATGAGTGATCGTAAGGAGTCCAATTTCCAAATGGGAGTACATGTCCCTTTATGCCATCTATTATAGCAAATATCACTGTTGCTTCGTTTAAAAATTCAACATATATTGTGATCCTCCTAATGAAAATAAAAATCATATAAAAACAAATTCTATTAATCTATACGAGAGAATAATTCTTTAAATTAATTACCAAATATTTATGTGTGATATATATTTAAAAATTTACACGTTATTTCATTTATACGAGATTAATTGATAAACATTGATGTATTTTAAAAAAAAATTTATTATTAAAAAAAAAGCTACGTTTTATTATTATCGAAAATAATAATTTGCTTTGTGTTAAATAAAAATAAAAAATCGTAAGTACTCGTAATAATTGTTATGCACGTATAACGAAGACACGTGTTATTTAATCTTTGATTAGATAATACATGAATATAAAAATAATTTGTTTGCCAAACGTCATTGACGAATTCTATTTTAAAACTGGTCTGACCATATTAAAGTAACTACTACTTAAAAAAGAAATAATTCACCTTGCGTCCTCGTCAAATTTTCCTTGTACATTTCGTTCCTCCAAATTCCTTGGTAGACAAAAATCTTTGAGAAGCATATCGAACAAAGAAATAATACTTTCCCTTTTTAATGTAAGATTAATTATTTTAATGCACACTGCTACGACCGATATTGTAAGGGTAAACTTTTCTATGAATGTGTTAACATTTTGATCGACGTAAGCATCGATAATATTACAAAATGCGAAAGAACATATTACAAATATCATAAATAAAGTATAAATATTGTATAAATAAGATTTGATTGAATTATTTGACCAATTTTTTGGCCGCCAATATCCGACGTATGTTAGCAAAGCAAATGATACAGGTAGAACGTGCATTTTCTAACTTTTGTATTACGTTCTTTCTATTACAATGCGTATTTGTATTTTTTCTTAGGGGTAGTAAAAAAAAGGAATAGATATCTCTCTGAAATATTTATAAAAGAAAAGAATTTTTTCAATCGTGTAAGTAATAATTTACAGGATTGTTTTTATGCGAGAGATTTTCTTTTTCTTTTTTCTTTAAAACTATTCTCCTTTCATCAAGTATAATGTAACGTTGTTTACTAATTATTCATACATTTTTTTTTCCCTCACCCGTTCATTAAAACATCTTTCGTTTTTATTACGACGTATTGTCGATAATTATATCAACCCCCTCGTCTATACAGTCAGTAAATTTTTATAACCTTACGTTATATCTGCGTAAAATACTTTAAAGTTATATTTCTATTATATATTCTAGAAAAATGATTTCTTTTTTCTCTCTCTCCGATATCCCCTAAGACTAATTAATGTTAAATTATTTATCGTGAATTAAAACTTTTTACATCGAGAGAAGTTTTTATTCTTCCGCCTGTAATTAAAAACTTTCTAGATATTTTTATCGATAAATTTTCTTTATCTCTCTTTTTCACATTATTACTTCATTAATAATTAAAAATGATTCCTATCTACGAAGCGTAAGTATAATAATAACTATAGTCAGTGAGATGATACGTATAGACGAGTTCTGAGTTTAATCTATCAAGTTCTCCTTTGACATTAGGTTTCTCTATTGTTTTTCATATATTTTTTTTTCTATTATTATTTATTTATTCTGATGTGAATTTTATGAAATATATCAAACAACACTTTTCTGACAACGATTTAAAATATTGAATATCAAACTGCACTGTCAAATAATATTTTTATTTATAAATGTAACAATTGTATATTACGATGAGGTCTGTAAAACATTATAAGCAGAATACGAAACTTTAATTATCTGAAATGTGAAATCATTAAATTAATAATATTCAATTATTAAAAAGCAATAATCATTTGTTTCTTTATATATATATACTTACAGTCATAAATGATTTAGCTGAAAGTTTAACTATGTGTAAACTATGCATTTCAATGCTCTTCGTTGTTCTTGCCATTATTATAGTTAAACTTTTAATTACTCTTGTTTTTAATGATATCCAATCCATTCCGTAAAATGCATCTCCAATTTTTTTACTCTCAAAAATGTTAATAAAATTCGATATTAAACAAAAATTGTAAGATAAAAGAATAAAAAAAAAAAAAAAAGAGAGGTGTGTGAGATTAATTTTTTTTTAATATTTACCCTCAATGTAACTTCGTTACCATACCAACAATAAAGAAATAATTGGATGAGCATACAAGCGAGATAACAAAATGTCCAAAGAAAATCAAAACTTATCAAATCCTTAGTCGATAATTTATAAACACTCATGCACAATACGGTCGAACTTAAAGAAAATTGCATGAATATCATCAAATTGAATACGTCGTTGACTTTTTGAGTGAATCTAAAATCAAATATTTGTATATAATAATGTTCTAACAAATTAATTAATATAAAAATTAATGTGATATATATATATTAATAAATAAAACCCTCAATGAACAAATGAAAACGTTAATAAATCTAATAAAATCATAATTATGGAAAATGAAACCATAGTATATTATTTTTACTTATAAACGTAAAGATGATATTCGACCAATTCACCGATAACTCGATTTTCGATTTTCTTTAAATCCTTTTCGGATGAACAATGTTTCTGTTTTTTTTCTAGCAACGTTGGTAATATTTTAGCCCGATAACAAAGTATTTCCAATTGTGAACATATTTGTATCATCAGCCCAGATATTATAGTCTCATGAGCAACACTTGAATTAGCACACACCATCAGACCAAAGGTTTGATGAAATAAAGTTATCCAAAGCATAGTACTCGAGGTATGATCGTATGGTGTCCAATTGGCAACTGGTAAAGTACAAGTTTCTATGAATTTACCAAATTGTGCTACTGTTGCAAAGAATACGGTTGCCTCGTTCAAAATTTCGCAAAAAATTGTAATTATCCTAAAGTAACACATTATTTACATTTATTTTTTATATACATATATGCAGAGTGTTTCGTAATACGTGGGATCCTACTTCAAATATGGACAGAGAATACAAGAATAATGAAAATAAGTTAATATAAAAATGTGTTTTATTTGATTTTGTTTTAAAATTATAGTAAATTTTGTTTGAATAACCACCCTCGGTTTGTGACTCCTGAAATAGGTGTGACATGTATTACGAAATATCTTGTATTTAATTATTAATATATAACTGCAGTTATTTTTTAAATTAATTTATTTTTCAAATAAACACAATTTTCTCTAATAATTAATAATTTGTAACTTTTCTAAAATAGATGGATATTAAATGTGAACGTAATAGATGTCTGACCATACAAGAACTTTACTACTGGCGTCTGATTACAACGTACAATATCTACTTTATCATTAATACTCACCTTGCATTTTTATCAAATTTCTGTTTAATTGCCAACTCCTTCGAATCGCGAGGAATGCATTGCTCATTTAAAAGCATGTTAGTAACAGAAATAATATTCTTTCGATTAATTAAAATGTTCGTCACTTTGATACACACACCGATTACGGATATAAATAATGAAAATTTTTCAAGTAAATTATCCAAATTATGATCAATCAAGGCGTCCATGAATCCACAAAATGTGAATGCATAAAGCATGGATACCATGAAAATCGTATAAATGTTATATAGTAAATATTTAAAAGAATTCGGTGACCAATTAACTGGCCGCCAAAAACCAACGTAAGTTAAAAGGGCAAAAGATAATGGAAGAGTATGCATTATTACAATTAATTTATATATTGTTAATTATTTTTCTTGGGCTTTGTAAATAACACGAGATTGTAAAATCAAAATGAAATTTATGTTCTAAAAATGATTTATCTTCGCATTGATGATAGAAAATCTAAATACTAGAAATAGTAGATAAAAGTGTATGCAAAATATTTGTCGACAATAGGAATTCTATATCTTCCTATTTTTATATTTTATTCATGGATACGTATGTCTTTGATTTTCTTTGTTAACACCACACAAGAAGGGTTTCTTTATTCATATAATAAATGCAGGCTGTAGTTATCATCGTCTTGTTCTATGTACTGTATGGTTTACATCATAATGTACAGTCAATAATTGTCCTGTCTTTCTTTTTTTTTTCTCTCTCTCTCTCTAGCTATACCATCAGTAAATTTTTATAACACTGCATTAGAGTAAAGATTTTATTTTCATTCAATTTCTTTGTTCTCTTACTAGAGTATATCGCGTATAATAACAATATTATTGTGTATAAATAATGAAAAATATATTTAAAAATTGATAAACTTCTTACGAATGGCTTCATTATCGTTTAATAAATTTTTCTGTTCGTTCTCTAATTCTCTTCCTTTACATTCTCATTTTAAATAATATATTCTAGTACTAAGGAGGTAGATTAAATTTATTACTACGATCTTAATAGTCGTAGTAAAATATTGCTGGATCGTGATGGATTGTGATTTTATATTTTGACGTATATAAAAGTTTCATCTGTACAAAAAGTATTTTACCTATTAATTAAATCTATTATATTAATTAGTTCCGTCTGGTCGTGCCCTGCCAACAACTTTGGGCATCTTTTTATTTGTCGAATCTTCTAATTCTTTGGGTTTATAATAATGCGGTGCAACTTCCAATAACCATTTGCTTTCTATTTCCGTTACCTATATATATTTAATAAAAAATCAATTTAAAAATACCAACAAATACGATAAATTAAATAACGTTAAAAAGTAGTTTTCATGAAATACCTGACGCATGAATTCTTTTGTCGTAAATACTAATTCGTGATAAAGTAACCATCGTGGAAGTTCTTGGAAAAGTGAACTATTCGGATGAATGGATACCGTTTGATTGTGTTTCGCTGTTTTGTAATGTCCACCTTTCGACAAACGTGCAACGTGATAAAAATAACCTGCAGTGATCGCCTAAAATATATTTGAAAATAATAAATATAATAAAATAATTTTAAAATTATCTAGATTAATATAATAAAAATGTTACATACTTTTCGAATATTAATTGTTTCCGTAATACCCGATACAAGTTCCATTTCAACTCGTTGCATTAGGCCAATTAATTGTTCCCTAACGTCTCTAGCTCGTTTCATCGATCTAATCAAACAAAAATCTATTGTCAAAACGATGTAAAGAAAAATTAAAAAACGAGAAAGACAAATTCAATTACGTTCGTACCTATGCTGTATAAAATTTTCGTAACACCAATGTGTACTAAAATCACTTTGTTGCCATTGATTATAAACGTTGAGTAAAGTAAGATGATCGCCACCAGGTACGTGAAAATTTTTTCTCGCTGTATCCGCGTGTATAATTTTATCTTTAGGTCTGTAGAAAATAGCTCCGTTAACGGAAAGCATAGCAGCTATTGTAGCTACTTCTTCAGAGCAACGATACCGTTCACTGGCTAATAACATTTTAGCCATCATCGGATCGAGCGGAAATTCTGCCATTCTTCGACCAAGTTTAGTTAATTCACCACGATGATTTAACGCACCCAAAGCATAAAGTTGTTCTAAAGCTAATACTAATGTTTCATGAGGTGGTGGATCGAGAAAATCAAAGTGAACTAAATCATTGATACCTAAAGCTTTTAACGTGAGTACTGCATTACCTGTAAAAATTATCATTAAAACATTATTATTAATAATGATGAAAGTAATTTCATATAAAATTATAGATTGAATACACACCGAGATTTATCCTTTGTATTTCAGGTACAGTATTATCTTCTAACTCGTTTTGATATGCCCATGCTGTATAAAGCCTGAAACATTTACCTGGTGCTACTCTCCCAGCACGACCTGTATATATTTATAACGTTAAAGAATTTTATAACATTGCATTAGAGTAAAGATTTTATTTTCATTCAATGTCTTTGCCTACGAGAGTAACGTACCTGCACGCTGCATCGCAGAAGCTTTACTAATCGGAACAACCATCAAACTTTCCATTCCTGTTCGTGCATTGAAATTGTTTTGTTTCGCAAATCCAGGATCTATCACGTAAACGATATTGTCGATGGTTAAAGACGTCTCTGCTATGTTAGTAGCCAGAACCACCTATTGATAAAAATAATATATATGTAAAGTAAATTCTAAAAATGACACGAAGATAATAAAAATATAAAATAAAATAAAATACCTTTCTAGCACCAGCTGGAGTAGGTTGAAATATTTTGGCTTGCATATCACTTGGTAAATTGGCATAGACAGGTAATATCAAAAGTTCAGCCAATTTACTTCCCAGCCTTCTAACTCTTTCTTGTAACATTTCTTGACACGTCTCAATCTCGTCTTGACCTAATCGACATTTTTTCAAATTACTAGTTGATTTGCAATTCACGAATATTTTAATTGGTACTTGAATCAATTAAATAATTTTAATGATTAACATTGAAAGCATATACTTACCAGTTAGAAATACCAGTACATCTCCTGGTGGTTGTGTTGCATGAATTTGAAGAATAGAGACTACGCATGCATCGATGTAATCTGCTTCAGGTGCTTTCGTATAATATATATCTACAGGAAAACGGCGACCAGGTATACGAAAGATCGGTGCGTTGTCAAAGAATTCACTAAACTTAGTTGCATCCAATGTTGCAGAAGAAATTAACAATTTCAAGTCTGAACGAAATCTTGTTATATCCTTAACCAAACCAAATAAAATATCGGTATGTAATGTACGTTCATGAGCTTCGTCGATTATCATTACACTGGAAATAAAATATACTTTTGTTATGTATAGAAATTTAAAAATATCGTTTTATAAAACTATTTTCAAATATTACCTATATGACGCTAAATCAGGTTGGCTAAGAAATTCTCTATGCAATGTACCATCAGTCATGTATTTGATACGAGTACGATGAGATGTACAATCTTCGAAACGAATTGCATAACCGACTTCGTTACCAAGTTTGACAGCCATTTCATGGGCCACTCTAGCAGCTACAGACATTGCTGCTACTCTGCGAGGCTCACTACAACCAATTATTTTATCGTTTTCTGCGAAACCTGCCGCATATAAATATTGTGGAATTTGTGTCGTTTTTCCTGAACCTGTTTCACCTTCTATTATTAGAATCTAAATTAAAGATATTGCGAGTTATTTATCATTAATTAAATATTGTAATATAAAATTGTTTTGTTTCAAATCATAATGTAATACCTGATGTTCTTTAATAGCTTGAATAAGATCATTCCTAAAAGGATATATTGGTAAGCTCTTTTTGGTTTCTTGTATCGTTTGTAAAATTGTAGCCTGTGGAGAAGGACTTGGTTCGCGTTTAGAACTTTTTTCACTTCCAGGTATATGCAGCCCCTGAATAAATTCTATTTCATCCTCCAATATAAGATCATAATCTTGTTGAGCTTTAATTAAAATATATTATTAAATTATTATTAAATATATCAAATATATTAATAAATCAGGAAGATGATTAATTAGAATAATTATTATACCTTTCCTATCTTTGGCTCCAAATCTAAATACCGCAGATGACATCTGATCTGATTCCCATTTACTTTGTTCGGATTGTGGTGGTTCTGCATCATGTTGGGTTTCTTCCGCTTCTAATTTCTTCTTTTCCAATGGCATATGATACCTTTGCACTCTTTCGAGTTCTCTTGCCTTTTCATGTTCCTTTGCTAATTGTAATAGCTGTTTCTTATGTTCCCTCTCACGTTTTTCACGTTCTGTTAAACTATATATACATAGAAAAATATTTTGTAAATAATTTAATATAATAATAATACTATCAGATTAAGTATAATTAATATAAATTACATTTCTTCTTCAAAGAGGTATTCATCATCAATAATGTCCGCTTCTAATTCTGCCACCTTATCCTCTTTACGCTTCTCTAAATATTTTCTGCGAGATTCCACTCTTAGTTTTGGAACAAGCTTTTCTCTTGCATCAGTTTCCATAAGTTTAAGTCTTTTTGCTGCCTCGGCTAGAAAACAAATATATTTTATGTTAATATGTTAAAGAGAGAAGAAAATACTTTAAAAAATGTAAAAATTATGATCTTACCTGCACCAGAGCCAGCAGGCATAGCAACTTTGCGTGTCTTACTATCATCCTTAGCTTTGAGACGGTTAGCAAATTCATCTCTCTCTTTGATATCTTTCTTACGTCTTTCTTCTTCACTATTACTATCCTCACTTGAAGAATCTTCTCTTCTGTATTTGCTCATTATTAATATTTTTAATAGATTATACTAAAATTATTTAGGCCTATGACAGTAATAACAAAAATTCTAAATATATATACATATATACATACGTATATTTAAAAACATTACTATTAAACAAATGATTAATATTATACAATAATTTAATTTATTTAACTAAGAACAAATAAATTAATAAAAAAAATTACTCAATATGTCACTTTTTTATTTCATAGGTTATGTTTTGGTAAAACGCGAACACTACTACCACTGCATCACACACACATACGTCACATCCGTAAGGACATCTGACGGATTAAATGACAATTATTAATCGATATTATTTGCACGCTTCTCGAATGTCCCGTTCGATATTTTTAAATTTCTACTTGTTACGTAAATTTAAAAAGAAATATTTTAAATAACAAATATAATTATTAATTATAATTACAAACAGATTATATATTGTGATGTTCACTTCTTCGAAGTCTTAATTATATACATTGATATTTCATTTAAATTATTAAATATTCTAACCAGAGAAAATAAATGTTGATTATCGTAATGAAGAGAAATTAATAAAATATACAAATTACATTTGATACTTGTTCTAATGTAAAGAATTAACATTTAAAAATGAAATATTATCGAAAGGAACTTGTCGACGACATGAATTAATACGTATACGGATAGTTGATAGTTAAATATATTTTTTCGAAGCGTATATTATCTCGAATATATTTTATTATACATACATTAATGAAAATATATACATGGTAGACTGCAGCTCATAAAAGCAGCAAAGTATCAATATAGTCATCAGCTACAGTATTCGTACGCGGATCTGTTTGAACGACGTCCTCTCGATAAAGTCGATTTTTTGTTTGTATTTATATTTTTATTTATTTATTTATTTGTTTTATCGACATTGTGTAAATCGGGAATTTTTCGGGAGGCACGTGTAGGCCGACACGTGTAGACCATTGAGTTTCACGAAATTAATCTTTTCCCGTTTCACTATAGTTTATTTTATTCATTACTATTTTTTTTTTTTCTTTTTATATTCCTTTATGAACATTCTCGACAGACACGATGATCCTGTATCGCGTGACGGCAAAGTCCTTTTCTAAAGGACATAAAAACGCGTTCCTGAGAATAAGAATGACGATTGGGCAAACAGATATAGGAATACTTTCACTGATCTTCAAATAACATTTGAATCTTATTCTCTTTTTACTTTCGCACCCCTTTTCTCTATTTTTTTTCTTTCTTTCTTTCTTTCTTTCTTTCGCTCTCGCTTTGTTTCTTTTTTTTTTCTCTAATTTTCATTTCGCATATTTCTATAATAGTCTCACTCATTGTTTGTCTCTTGCACTCTTTCGTAATTCATTTTTCTATCTTTCTTCCTATACTACTGCACAGCCAAACACTTACTTGTTCGATCACTCGACTTCTAATTCATTATGCATTTCCCCCCCCCCCCGCCACTATTTTTATCTCATTTCATTTCATTTTTTTTAAATTTAATATCGTTTAAAACATGATTGAACGATGTGATGTTTTGCGATAATTAGGATATTTCAACGATTCCGATAAAACCGTATTTATATTTTCTTTTTTTTCCTTCATTATTATTATTATTATTATTATTATTATTATTATTATTATTTTTATTATTATTTTTGTTTCGAGTTTCAGGCGTATTTTCTGCGTGTGTGTTATATTTTTCTTTTCAATTGATTCCTTTTTTACGAATTATTTCATATCGATTCCAGTTAACACGCACGATCGATTCGAAGTACCGACAGACACTTAGGTTCTTATTATCTCGCTTTTTGTTCTTCTTTTTTTTTTTTAAATCATAATTATTTCATTTTTTCTTTTTTTTTTTTAAATCGAATTGAAAAAATAACCGCGTCGTCTCGTAGAATACATATTTGTACTTCGTTCTAAACCTCCATTTCCGAGCTTTCACAATGCAAAGATTACATTATCGTACGTGTGTGTGTGTGTGTGTTATTACAATTCTAAAAAATAATTCTAAGAGAGACACAGAACAGAAAATGCGAGATATTAGAAACCTTAGGCTTCTCGTTTACGTCTATTAAATATTAATAATAACGTTTTTAAATATATAAAAAGAAAAACGTTATTATTATTATTATTATTATTAATATTAATATTAATATTATTATTATTATTATTATTATTATTATATTAATGCCTATGTTTAAGATCGGCATTGAAAATACGAGGATGGGTTGATAACATTTCGAGCATGTTATCTCTCTCTTTCTCTTTTTTTCTTTTTTTTTTTAAACTTTTCAAACTACGTTGAAAAATAAAGGGCAATTTTTTCCTTGATGCGAGAACAATCAAATTTTTGTCCCTACGTTAAGACTCGAAACGTTTTCAACCCATTAACGACGTATAACATCATCATTCTCGAACGTCGCTTAATTTAAAATTCGTTTTTTTTTCTTTTTTTTTTTTTTTTTTTTTTAAATCGAACCCCTTTCAATTACGAGACATTATTACACAATGATCACATTAGTTTTTGTTTTTTGGTTTACTAAAGATGACACATGCAGCGTACAAAACATATCTCATACATATATTTATATATTTATTTATTTATATATGCATTATCGTTTAATTTAATGTTGTATTATTTTCTTTTCTTTTTTTTCGGTAATTTTTAATTTTTATTTTTATTTTTTATCGATATCTCTTTTGTTGTTGTCCCTTTTTTTTTGTTTTTTTTTTGTTTTTTACCCCATTGTAATACTAATCGTTTTCATTCGTTAGTGTTTTGTCAATTATTATTATTGTTACACGCTATATTTTTTTTTTTTTTTTTTAATATATATTGCGTTACGATGTTCTTAATAATATTCCTTATTCGAGGAATTATTTTAAAACGATATCGGTACATTTTTGTTTTTTTTTTTACGCAACGATACACACACGGTGGCATTTATTAAACGAGCCAAGTACGCACAACGAACGACGACACTACGCCCATCATTTTCTTATTTTTATTTTTGTCATTTTTCTCTTCTTTTTTTGAAAATTAAAAGAGAAGCGTTGCATATCATATAAAAAAAAAAAAAAATGAAAATTTTGATTACAATCAAGTGGTGCTAAATATGGTAACGTTAATAATAATAATTAATAATAATAATAACAATAATAATAATAATAATAATATAATAACAATTATTATTACAATAATAACAACAACAATAATAATAAAAAAGAATAATAATAATAATAATAATAATAATAATAATATTGCACGCATGGTTAGGGCCCCGTTTAATTGTTTTTACGCACGAATTCTTTTTACAACACGACAACGAAAATTGCAACAGCCCAAAAATATCACGAATATATATCATCTTTCTATCTGACACATTATATTTCTATTAAATAAAATACTTTTCTTTTCGTGTTATAAATAAGAGTATCGAGCGTTATTTTATTAAAAAAAAAAAACAAAAAAAGAAACCCAATTTTTCGTCAAGTGCCGCGCTACAGAGGGAGAGAGGGGCATAAAAATAAAAAAATAAAAAAAAAAAAGAATTTTTAGAAATGTTTCTCTGTCTTTTACATTAATTCTTGGATGAAAAAGAAACATTAAAAACAAAACGAAATTAAAAAAACCACACAATTGAAGAAATTAATAAAAAAAATTGATCAATTTAATGATACGTGTATTCATAAACATATTCAAAAGCGTTCCGTCATGAGAACTTTTTTTGTTTTGTTTTTTTTTTTTTTTTCATAAGAACAGACAATATTCAAATCTAATATCGACGTTTTATGGTGTACGAAATGTTTTTTAGACAGTCAATTAATCAGGGGGACGAGTGGGGGTTGCAAATGTATGCATTTTTTATCTTTTTTGAAATTTTGCGTGTGTATGTGTGTTTGTGTGTGATAAAGTATATTATCGGGGACGTAAAAAAGATGACGATAAGAGAAAAGAAAAAAAGAAAAAAAAAAAAAGAAAAAGAATTGAAAAAAACTATACAATAAATCTTAATCGTTTTGGATTTCGATAATTCGACAGGATATATCCGCACAATATCGTACTTAAATATTAATATTAATATTAATATTAATAATAATAATAATAATATAATCGTACTACCATCGTACCGTAAATCTAAGCTTAAAAAGTAAAAAGATTATGGATACCAGCATCGTCTGATTATCGCTGATACACACGCACACAGAAGAGTTTTAAAACGTTCGTTTTTCAACAAAACGCGATTTGGAACGCTTCAAATTCGTACGTATCTTTTCTATATATTTTTGTGTGTATTTTTCTTTTTTTTAATTATTTAATTATTTTGTTTGTTTTTTTTTTCATTTTTCTTTTTTGTTTTTTTTTTTTAATGTTACGATTACTTTTTACGTTTATTTTTTACTTTTAATTAAAAGTTTTTTTTTCAGTCTGTGCTCTCCTAGTCCATGACGAGTTAATTGAATAGGATTAAGAAGATAAAAAAAAAAAAGAAGAAGAAGAAACAAAAAATCCTAGACAAAATTTTAAAACTAGAGTGAAAAAAAAATAATAATAAGTAATAAAAAAGAAAAAAAAAAAAAACATTACGAAAAGGACAACGAAGATGCCTGGACCGTCGAGGAGAAATAGTAGTAGTAATAGTTAATACGTTTGTGATTCAAAATTACGATTCGCGAGCGGTATACTATTAATATACCTAACAAGTGTATTTTGTGTATTTTGTGTATGTCGATAATTACGATAGTATCAATTGTAAGAGTCAACAGAATTTGCACAAAAATTCATATCTATAGATTTTTTTTATATTCCAAAATTATTAATTTTCTTATTAAAAGTTTCTTCCTTTTTTTCCTGGTAATATTTTAACAGGAAAAATATTTCTTGTATTTTATATTATATTTTTAATTTCAATTAATATACGATCCATTCTATCCCATTACCTTTTTTTTCTTAATAACGTGTATTTAAAATTAATAATAATAATATTAAGTATATATATGTATATATAGAAAAAAAAAAAGGAAAGAAACTTATGGGACAACCTAATATTTGTGTATTGTCGAATAAATCACAAAATAAAATTAAATTTGTTGATGTGTTATCATAATTACCGGCACATATGTGTGTGAGTGTGTGTATTATATCGTCAGCCCGTAAATCAATATAAAATGCATCTTAACGTTCGCTACCGTTAACGTTGGTAGGTTGTACAAGTTTGATAGACGATAATCCCGGTATTCCTCGATCAATTAAACGATTGCGCTTAAAACGATTATTCTTTTTTATTACTTTTTTTTTTCTATTTTTTGTTTGTTTGTTTCCTTTTTCTTTTTGTTTAAAGAAGTTGTGCGCAGAGTCGAGTCGAGTCAGCGACATGCGTTCTCCTAAAAAGGAAAGAAACCCGTAGGTACCGTCAAAGTTTCATGGATGGACCGATTGAAAAACGTATTCCATCAAAGACACGACGGTCATATTTTGTTCTCTCTTGGTATTTTTTTTCTTCTTCTTCTTCTTCTTCTTCGTTTTTCTCATTCTACGTTAAGAGAACAAAATTCTACTACAACACACTTTATTAATAATAATATAAGTCGAGTAAGAGTGTCTCTTCCTATCACATAACTTTTGTCTTCTTTTTTGTTTGCTTTTTATCATCATCTTCTTCTTTTCTTTTTTAATTATTTTTTTGTTTGTTTAAATATTAATAGCATTACAGGCAGTGTTCGTCAAGAAACTGCTACAGGACGTACGTTCCCATAAATCGGATGGGCTAACAAGATTATTAAGATTAAAAAGTAAATACGTTAATTGTTTTTTCTTTTTTTTTTCTTTTTTTTTTTTTTTTTAAACGACTCTACAAGTTTGGTTTAACCGTTTGTTCTCAGTTTAAAAAAAACGTTGGTAAGGGTTCGAAGTTTAAAAACTGATAAAAAACGCAAATTAAAAATTAAAAATTAAAATATAATAAAAAAAAAATAAATCGTTCCTATATATATATATATATATAAGACGTGAAAGATTGGACAAATTTTACGAACGAAATGTTTTTTCTTTTTTTAAAGGATATAATAGCGTTTATATCTACGATTCGTGTTATCAACGAAACCCAAAGATTTCTTTCCTTTTCGGACTGTCCTTGCAATGTGACAATGCGATAAGAAAAAATTATATGACATATATATTTATATTTATTTATATATATATGTCATTATTAATTAAAACAATAATATAACGCGAAATAATCTAACAATAAGAAGGATTAGGAGTAACAGCAGCATGACGCGGTTTAATAGATTTTAGTAATTAAATTGCAGTTTGCAGCAGTGACTCTTTATGGTGACGACGATGGTAATGGTGACGTACCGTACTCTCTCTCTCTCTCTCTCTCTCTCTCTCTCTCTCTCTCTCTCTCTCTCTTTCTTTCTACCTTTCTTTCCTTCCTTCCTTCCTTCCTTCCTTCCTTCCTTCCTTCTTTCTTTCTTTCTTTCTTTCTTTCTTGTTCTCTCTCGTTGCGTGTGTGTGGAGCTCGAATTAATTGAAAACGTTTGAAATAGTCATTTATAAATAGACAGCGAGTTTCACACTCAGCATCGAAGATAGGCAACCAGGGTTCCAGTGTTCTCCGGTAACCACAATATAGGGTCCCATAATCGCTGTTGTTAAACGTTAACAACGACCACCGAGAAAAGTCAAAAACGTCTTTTGAAAAGACGTCTTGAGTAGTAAGATCAAAAGGACGATTTACTTCAGTATCATTTGTATGATAAATCACAGAATGACGCAGCATCGACAATATCGTTGTCGGGATGCTCCCGCACTAGGAGGTGGCGTGACCGGTGCAAAGTATGCGTGGACTTTTATATTCGGCAAATGTGTCTGAAATAATTCAAATTGATAAGTTTATTTTTCTTTTGTTATCAATTTAAATATAATATATCTAACGATTAAATGAATTATTTATTTTTAAATATATTTATATATATATATACATTTTTAACCCTTTCCGAAGCATTCGAGTTAACCGATTATTAATCTTGTAGCTATTAAAAGATACCAAAGTGGTATTCCTCTAATAATAAATCAATTATGTGAGATAAAGCACCAACTACAATGACCTCAGACAAAAAAAGAAATCATATTTTTTAAACATTAAGTGTCGTCTCTTTCTGCCGGATAACTTTAAACTTTATTACTTTTTTCTTCTTTTTAATTTGTTCTTTATCTTGTTGTTTTAAAATATTAATAGCATTGCAGGCAGTGTTCGTCATGAAACTGCAACAGAATATAAGTTTCTCTCTCCAAAATAAGAGTACTAATTATAAGATATTTATATTATCTTAAAATAATGGTAATAACAAAACAAGTTAATTAAACAACACGCATCTTGATGTTCCGTTCGCAAAGGGTTAAAAACTATATAAGAGTGTTATAAGAAATAAAAAGAAAAACTTAAGAAGACCATACTCTTAATCTACGTATGCCAACTCTAGTGATCAGTTGGCAGTCGTAAAGTTCAATTCGTTCTAGATTGTGGCAGGCCTGTAAAAGATGATCGAGACTGGCGTCCGTTATCAGAGGACAGTTATCCAGTTCTAATACCGCTAAGTGTTCCGCAGCACACGGTGAAAGAGCAAGCTGCCGAATCCCTTCGTCAGTGATCAGCTCGCAATGGGACAGGCTCTACATTATTTTATTCAAATGAACAATTAGTATAGGACAAGTATGACGGATTTTGTTACAGCATTTTTTATTTGTTTGTTTGTTTTTTTCTTTTTTGTATATTTTCCTTAATATTTTATTCAACGTACCAGCTTCTCTAATCTTGGACAACCCATAGCCAGGTGTATAAGGGTGGCATCTGTTATTAAAAGGCACTCTTCGAGGTCCATCTTTTCGAGTAATCTGCAATTCTAAAATATTAAACGATCAGAAAATCAATCGATCATTGATGATAAAAGTCAAATTGATTATATATCAAAACTTACTCTCGCGAGAGCTTGAAAACCTGCGTCGGTAAAGTGCGTGCAAGAAACGCATTCGAGAATACTAAGAAGTGGACAGTGTTGAGCCAAAGTTATGAGAGATGCATCCGTTAAATTAGGACAATTCGATATACAAACGTAATGTAATTTTGGACACTTTTCGCTTAACTCTCTTACAGCGTCGTCTGTTATGTTCTGCAAAGCAAAATTGTCCATATTATATTTTTTGAAATCAAAAGAAAAATATCAATATATTAAATCAATTATAATTAATAATATTTATTTGTGTTGTTTATAGGGGGGATGGAGATTTTTGATTGTATGCATTAAAATAAATAAAAATAAATGTTGATAATAATAAATATACAAAAATTTGTAATACCCTGCATTCGTGTAGATTAATCGCTTCAAGATGTCGACAATATTCGGCCAAACATTTGACACCTTTGTCTGTCAATTGACGACAACCCCTACTTAGAAAGTTACGTAATGATGTACATCCCCTTGACAATGCTTCGATTCCATTGTCGGTAAGTAATTCGCACCATGACAGATTGATGTGTGTTAAATGAGTACAACCATCCGATAGATCTTTCAACGAAAGATCTGTTATTTCCGGACATGAATCCAAATTTAATCGTTGCAGCTTTCGACAACGTTTGCTGAGGGCCTCACAAGTTGAATCCGAGATTTTCTTACACTGACTCAGATTAAGTTCCTCGATGTTGGGACAAGAACTGGCTAATAAACGCATAGATTCGTCTCCGATACTTTGACATCCTCTCAATGACAATTGTCGAAGAAATCCGCCGCAACGATTCGAAATGTTTTTTATTACTGATTCCTAAAAAAAAAAAAAACAAACAAACAAACAAACGAGAAAAGAAAAAAAACGAAATAAAAGGGAGAAAAAAAAAGAACAAAAAATTTAATTATTAATTCGAGCGTTATATACGCGAACGATGTTTTAAATATTAACAACAAGTATGTGAATTGTTTCTTTTCTTAAAAAAAATATATTGTTATTTTTTTAAGTACCCCCACGTCTCGTTGAAAATCAAAAAGGTCGATCCTTTGCCAATTGGAACCATCGAGGGCCAATATGTTCCATGCTTTACTTACTTGGGCACATCGGCATAAAGATATAACGTCGAGATACGAGAGGATTCTGAAATTACGCGTGTAGATCGATCACAATTTCGATATTAATGTGATTTAATTATAAAAATGATTTATTATTATGATTTGTTACCTTAATAACAATTCCTTTGGCAGTTTTTTGTTAATCTGCGCCTCGTCGTCGTGTAAAACCCACGTTAACTGAAATAAATGATATTTAAACTAAAAACAATAAATATGTTATTATTTTTTTCGTGTATATATATATAATTTAAATAGAAAAAGATAAAAAAAGAAAGAAAGAGAGAAAAGAGAGAGAGAGAGAGACAGAAAGAGAGGATACACACATATATATATATATAATATATTATTTCTATATATAATATATATATATATATATATTAGAAATAATTGAAAAATAAAAAAATGTTATCAGAAAATAGACGAGAGTTAACTGGCAGCCCACCGCTGACGAATAATAAATGCTACAACGAAATCTTTTATGTTAACAAAATAATAATAATATTAAAAAGAAAAAACAATACCCAAAATGAGAGGAGACATTTTTTAAACGATGGAAACGTCAAAAAAGGAACGAAGAAAAGCATATAGGAGGATATGATTTTGTTTAAAATGATAGACCAACCTGCATATAGGATTGCTTCATGGTAGTGACAGGGTTGTTGTGATTATGCGATTGCGATGTGTAATAACCACCCTGATGATGATAATGGTTATAATGATAGGATGGGTGCTGTTGTCTCCACCATTGACTTCCGGTTCCAGTATCGGTGACCGATTGAAGTCCTTGGACAATCTGACCCCCTCCTCCTACTCCCACTCGACTTACTTTTTTCTAAAAAAAAAAAAAAATATATATATAGATATATCCCCCTCATTTTACGTCATGATTTACGATAAGTTTTTTCTTTTTTTTTTTTTTTTTTTTGGTCAATATTAACAGATTCATATTTTTTATTTTCTTCTTCTTCTTCTTCTTCTTCTTCTTCTTCTTCTTCTTCTTCTTCACCATTTTAAGATATAAAATATATCTCGATATTATAATTTATTAAATATTAATATATTATCTTGACGATCGTGTTCTCGAAGTATTGTTTTATTTATTTATTAAAAGAAAAAAAGAAATGTATTTCGCGTATTCGTCGTTAAAGTTCGAACATCAAGCCCCCCCGCCCCCCGTCAAAAAAGAGAGAGAATAACTTTTTAAATCATGCGCCATAAACAAACTCTCACGATTCATGTATTGTATATATATGTGTGTATGTGAGAGAATATATTAATCGAGATAAGGTAAATATTATGTTCGACAAATCCACCGAGCAAAAGAATATTTCAGATAACGCGTATTTTAACAAGAAACGACTCGGCACATTTTGATAAATAAATTTTTTTTTTTTATTTCAATATGTTTTACATATATTATTTATTCAAAAAAAAATTATATCGATGATGATGCATCGTTTGATTCAAGAAAAAAAAAAAAAAAAAAAAAAAAGAAAAGAAATATAAGAACACAAAATTGAAATAAATAAAAATAATTTGCAACAAAAGTATATAAATTTCTGATAGACAAACCGAGCGCGATAATATAACAGTCGTATTTATAAATTATTTATAAATGATAATATATTTGAACATTTTCAAGTAACGTCAAGGTTTTTTACTTTTTCTAAGTGAAAAATATTATTATTACATATTTAATCCTATCGCGTACTTAGAAACTAATCTAAATATAGTAAAGAAATAGAACAAAAAATATTGCACTGTTATGTAATTACTTGCATATAAATTATCATTATATTTACTTATCCTAATCTTTTGATATACATATATATAAATATATTTTTTTTATATACGTTTAACAAAAAAGAAAAAAAGGAAGCAAACGATACTCACGAATGCAGGAAATGAAAATATAAAGAATTTGAAGGATCTCTTTATAAAAAAAAAAAAAAAGAAAAAAATACGGCTGCGCCAAGGACAATGCACTTAGACGATAAAGGTTGGTAGTAATTTTAAAATGACCTTTCCAATGCTGACTCAGGTTTTATCTCTTGAATCGGACTTTTCTAATCCTCGAAGCTTCTCTCATTACGTTGTTATCATTCTCATCTTGTAACACACAATCAAAACTCTACGAAAAACTCGTTAAGTTTGGATTCTTTTTAAATTGGAAAGAAAGAAAGAAAGAAAGAAAGAAAGAAGGAAAGATCTTTTACTTTTTCTTAATAGTTAAAAATAAGGAATGAAAGAGAAAAAGAAACATTAAAAAAAAGAAAAGAAAAGAAAGAAAGAAGAAAAATTATATTACAGGTTGTATTTCTTTGATTATATTACTCCCACTCATTCATCGTATTTGATTCAAACTGTTTCTCGTATTACTTTTATTTCTTCTTCTTCGTTTTTTTCTTGTATCAACCTACTCATGCTGTTTTTTTTATTTTTTAAGTCGATATATTATTAATTGACAAAAATATACAAAAAAAGAAAAAGAAAAAAGGAAATAAAATAAAATTCATTAAATTTGAAATTAATTATATATATATATATATATATGTACTTTTTATTTTATATTATTTTTATATTTACTATTACTATCTCTGTTGTATAAATATAATAATTACAATAAAAAAAAAAAAAGAAGAAG